AAGAAGAATACGGCATCAGGAATGGAGGAAAACTCACTGACAACCTGTGTTATGCAGATGACACAACCTTGCTTGCTGAAAGTGAAGAGGACTTGAAACACTTACTGATGAAGATCAAAGACTACAGCTTTCACGATGGATTACACCTCAATATAAAGAAAACAAAAATCTTCACAACTGCACTTTTAAGCAACATCGTGATAAACAGAGAAAATATTGAAGTTGTCAAGGATTTCATTTTTCTTGGGTCCACAATCAATGTCCTTGCAAGTAGCAATCAAGAAATCAAACGACGTATTGTGTTAGGCAATCTGCTGCAAAAGACCTCTTTAAAGTGTTCAAAAGCAAAAATGTTACTTTGAGGACTAAGGTATGCCTGACCCAAGCCACGGTATTTTCAACTGCTGTATATGTAGGCAAAGGCTGGACAATGAATAAGGAAGATTGAAGAAGAATCGATGCCTTTGAATCATGGTGTTGGCAAAGAATATTGAATATACCACGGACTGCCAAAAGAACAAACAAATCCGTCTTGGAAGAAGTACAGCCAGAGCACTCCTTGGAAGCAAGGATGGTGAGATTTCATCTCATACTTTTGACATGTTATCAGGAGGGACCAGTCCCTGAAGAAGGACATCATGCTTGGTAAAGTAGAGGGTCAGCGAAAAAGAGGAAGACACCCAACGAGATGGATTGACACAGTGCCTCAACAATGGGCTGAAAGATAGCAACGATTGTGCGGATGGCACAGGACCGAGCAGTATTTTGTTCTGGTGTACACAGGGTCGCTGTAAGTCACAACCAACTTGATGGCACATAATAACAAAAACAATTTTATGCTATGTGAATTTTACCTCAGATTTTTTAAAAAGATGTTATAAAACTAAGAGAGAGGGAGAGGCTCTGTATCTTGCTCAAGTCCTCACAGAGTGGGATTCCAACTTCCGGGTCCACATTCTGCCTTTCTGCCTCCCAAGAAAAGTCTCTCCAAAGACCCCAAGGTGCCATACTGGACAGCCAAGCATTAACTTGTTTGCTTCAGACAAGAATTCAGTCCTTCCCCCACTTGAAGACAGAAGACTCCCTCCAGGTTGAGGTGGTTCTGAAGGTTTCAGGGGATTGGGAGCTCCAAAGCCAAGCTATGAAGGCCATGTTGCATGTAGAGAGACTGTGAGGAGGAGAGCATTATGGGAGAAGGGAGAAAACCATGGGGTGGTGTTAGAGGTTGAATTGTGTCCTCCAAAAATACGTGTTTGAATCCTAACCCTTATACATGTGGAAAGGAGCCCTGGTGGCACAATGGTTAAGCGCTCAGCTGTTAATCAAAAGGTTGGTGGTTCAAACCCACCCAGCGGCCCCTAAGGAGAAAGACCAAGCAATCTGCTCTGGTAAAAGATTACAGCCAAGAAAATCCTATGGGGCACTTCTACTCTGTCACGCAGGGTTACTATGAGTCGAAAATGGACTGGACAGCACCCGACAACAACATACATGTGGATGTAATCCCATTTGACAATAAGGTTTCTTTGTTATGTTAATGAGGCTGTATCATTTTAGGGTGTGTCTTAAGACAATCACTTTTGAGATATAAAAGAAGCCAATTAGGCACAGAAGCAAGCAAGTAGAGATGGGGAAGGCAGATGCTACACCGCATGAAGATCCACAAGGAACTGAGGAAGAGAGGCTGAAAAGACACTAGGACCTTCTCCCAGAGCTGACAGAGACAGAAAGCCTTCCTCAAGAGCCAGCGCCCTGAATCTGGATTTCTAGCCTCCTAAACTGTGAGAAAATAAATTTTTGTTTATTAAAGCCACCCACTTGTGGTATTTCTCTTATAGCAGCACTAGATAACTAAGACAGTGCAAAGGGACAGACTTCGTCATAGGGCTGTTGGGAGAATTTAGGGATGGTATTTTCAGTCGCCTCATATGCATACAAAAGCTGGACAACGAATAAGGAAGAACAAAGAAGAATTGATGCCTTTGAATTAGGGTGTTGGTGAAGAATGTTGAATATACCATGGACTGCCAGAAGAATGAACAAATCTGTCTTGGAAGAAGTACATCCGGAATGCCCTTCGGAAGCAAGAATGGCGAGACTTCGTCTCATGTACTTTGGACATGTTATCAGGAGGGATCAGTCCCTGGAGAAGGACATCATGCTTGATAAAGTAGAGGGTCAGCGAAGAAGGAAAACACCCTCAAGGAGATGGATTGACACAATGGCTGCAACAATGGGCTCAAACATAGCAACGACTGTGAGGATGGCGCAGGACCAGGCAGTGTTTCGTTCCGTTGTACACAGGGTCACTGTGAGTTGGAATCGACTCAACAGCAATGGATTTGTTTTTTTCTTTTTTTTTTTTTTGTTGTTGTTCAGGAAACCACAGCCCATTAGCTTTCACCTTGGTGAAGGTAAAGGTTCTGGGTAACTGTCTTCTAGCCCTGGTGGTACGATAGCTAAGCGCTCCTTTGCTAGTCGAAAGGTTGGTGGTTGGAACCCACCCAGTGGCTCCTTGGGAGAAAGACCTGGAGATCTGCTTTCATAAAGATTACAGCCTAGAAAATCCTACGGGGCAGTTCTACTATGTCACATGGGGTTGCTATGAGTCAGAATCAACTCCGCAGCACCTAACAACAACAAGCCTCAATCTAGTAGCCCCTGGGTGGCGTAAATATTTAAGCACTCAACTAGTAGCTGAAAGGTTGGTAGTTCGAACCCACTTGGAGGTGCCTTGGAAGACAGGCCTGGCAATTCAGTTCAGGGGTGTGGTAGGGTGGTGGTAGATATGGACAGAGCAGTCACCGGCCTAGAAAAGGGGGTGGGATCTCCAGGGCCAGCGAGGCCAGGATCTGGCTGGAGCTGTTAGGCAGGGAGTGGAAGGAGCCCAGTGCCCTTAGTCAGAGGGCAGTGGAGTCTCCCAGGGAAAGCCAGCCAGAGGGATGTAGCAGGGGCATCAGCAGACCCATTGTAAATGGTTATTAACTCTGGTCTTTGACTCTTCCATGTCTCCCCCCACCCCAGCCAGGCCTCTCTGCCCACAACAGCAGATTCTGTTAGCAGGTTCTGTGCCCTCCTCTGGGCCTTCCATGACACCTCACCAAGGCCCTGTCATTACTTTACGGTCTTCCTTTTGACTAGAGGCTCCCTCTGGGGACACTTCACAGTTATTCAACAAACATGTATTGATGCCTGCTATGTGCCTAGCATTGTGGGGTGGGGAATGCCTGGGAAAATCTTATCCATCAAGGCAGCAACTGCGCATTGAGCGCTGACGATGAAACTCAGATGCTCAAAGGTCCAGGCAGGTGGGGAAGGGCCGGAATTGAGAATTTGGTAAAGCCCATTTACACAGGGGGAGCTCTGGCCAATTGTCACTTGTGGAAATGCAGGCCTGGCATTGCCAGATCTTCCAGAATTTTAAATCCAGAAGTTGGAAATATGCATTTTATTGTGAAGTCTCCTGACTTCCCAAAGTTAACAACTAATGTGATTCAAACTGTTATTTTTAAACACTGATTAGGCCGAAGAAAACCCATATGGGCACAACATCTGGCCTCCAAGCCCCCTGTTTGCAAGGCCTGTGCTGTCGGGATCTGTGCTTGCCTTTCTCCTCTATCTTGGCACAGGTACCAGTGAAAACTTTCAAGGACAGTAGCTGTCCCATCTCAGGTGCCTAACACAGCCCCTGGCAGGGAGCAGGTGCTAAGTAGGTGTTATCTCACTGGGCTGCAGGATATAGGTCTCCTGGCTGCCCCTCATCTCAACAACCTTCATTGGCTCCCTACTGCCTGTGGAATAGCAGACAAACACCTCATTCTGATATTCCAGGCCCTCCCTAGTCTGTCCCAATGCACCTTCCCAAGATTCACAGCCGTTTGTCCTATAGGGGCACCCCTGGCTCAGGCCACAAAGGTCATGTATCTGTTATGTAATTATTTACATACTTGATTTGGCCTTCCAGGTCATGGACTTTCCCACAACTTCTCCTAAAGATTCCATGGATCAATGAATCCACAAACATTTATTACACGACTTCTGGGAGAAGTTCCGGGAAGAGAGAAATGGAGGAGTGGGAGGAATCAGTAGGCAGAATAGAGTAATAAATGATCAAACATCCTTACTCCTACCCAAGTTTCACTACTTCAGGCAGGAGGGAACTCTCCAATTGCTGCAGATAACACATTCATCCTCAGGTTGGCATCTGCCAGAATCCCGGTTCTGTTCTTTTCGGTGCCACCAACCCCTGGGACCTGTATATAGAGACAAAGAAAAACACAACCTTGACCTCTCCACAGAGGTTCAGAGATCTGGAGTCTGCCGAAGTGCGAGATGCAGTGCTAACAATGAGATGTCAGAGCCCCAGGACAGCGCCCCCAACCCCAGCTCAATTCTTTGCAACTTCCTGCGCTAGACAGACGGATGTAGAAAATTAAGAATCATTTATTTTGTAAAATACCAGCGACGAGGATGGGATTCGAACCCACGCGTGCAAAGCACAATGGATTAGCAGTCCATCGCCTTAACCACTCGGCCACCTCGTCCCACGCGAAGGGTGTCCTTCTATGTTCTCTTATCACTCATCTCCTACGCACTTTCCTAGCCCCCTCTACCCACTCTCCAGCGAAGATCTCTTAGGACACCTAGGGCAGCGAGAAACTGCGGAAATAAACGTTTTTGTTTTTTATTTTTTCCTTTCTGCCCGCCACAGCCGGGAACCCAGGCCATCCTTCATCAGGCAGCAGCCGAGCTCTGCCACAGTTTCCCCTCTCTGACTCGGGGACGAGCGCACGGGGTTTCAGGGCGCGCTGGGTCCAGGGGTCGCGCACTGCGGGGAGCGAGGGGGCACACGTTCCGGAGGACCCAGCGGGACGGGATGCGGTGGGACAACAGGGGCCGCAGCGCCGACCCGCGCGCTCCGGCAGTCCCAGCGTTTGCAAAGCGCGCGGGCGCGGTGGCTCCTCCTCCCTCGCAGGGGCTGGCGCGCGACCGAAGCCGGTCGGCGGGCGGAGCTGCGGGGCTCGGCTGGACTCGGTTCGCTTCGGCTGCGCTCGGCACGCTGCGGTAAATCCCGGCTCGCGGGTGGCTGGCAGAGGCTCCGGCTGGTGGTCCCTGCTGCGCGCTCTAAGCCCGGAGAGCCATGCAGATGTCCTACGCCATCCGGTGCGCCTTCTACCAGCTGCTTCTGGCCGCCCTCATGCTCGTAGCGATGCTGCAGCTGCTCTACCTGTCGCTGCTGTCCGGGCTGCACGGGCAGGAGGAACAAGACCAGTATTTCGAGTTCTTTCCCCCGTCCCCGCGGTCCGTGGACCAGGTCAAGGCGCAGCTCCGTACCGCGCTGGCCTCGGGAGGCGTCCTGGACTCCAGCGGTGACTACCGCGTCTACAGGGGCCTGCTGAAGACCACTATGGATCCCAACGATGTGATCCTGGCCACGCACGCCAGCGTGGACAACCTGCTGCACCTGTCCGGCCTGCTGGGGCGCTGGGAGGGCCCGATGTCCGTGTCGGTGTTCGCGGCCACCAAGGAGGAGGCGCAGCTGGCCACGGTGCTGGCCTACGCGCTGAGCAGCCACTGCCCCGACATGCGCTCCAGGGTCGCCATGCACCTAGTGTGCCCCTCGCGCTACGAGGCCGCCGTGCCCGACCCCCGGGAGCCGGGGGAGTTTGCCCTGCTGCGCTCCTGCCAGGAGGTCTTTGACAAGCTAGCCAGAGTGGCCCAACCCGGGATCAATTATGCGCTGGGCACCAACGTCTCCTATCCTAATAACCTGCTGAGGAATCTGGCTCGCGAAGGGGCCAACTACGCACTGGTGATCGATGTGGACATGGTGCCCAGCGAGGGGCTGTGGAGAGGGTTGCGGGAGCTGCTGGATCAGAGCAAGCAGTGGGCGGGCACCGCGCTGGTGGTGCCTGCCTTCGAGATCCGTCGAGCCCGCCGCATGCCCGTCAGTAAGACGGAGCTGGTGCAGCTCTACCAGGTGGGCGAGGTGCGCCCCTTCTATTATGGGCTGTGCACGCCCTGCCAGGCACCCACCAACTACTCCCGCTGGGTCAACCTGCCTGAAGAGAGCCTGCTGAGGCCTTCCTACGTGGTGCCCTGGCAGGACCCCTGGGAGCCATTCTATGTGGCTGGAGGCAAGGTGCCCCCCTTCGATGAGCGCTTTCGGCAGTATGGCTTCAATCGCATCAGCCAGGTGCCCATGAGGGGAGGGCAGGGGAGGCAGGGGGGTGGGAGGGAGAGGCAAGAGGTGGAGGGGAGGGTGAGTGAGTGGGTGGGGGAGAAGGGGGGGTGGGAGAGGGGAGTAGGCCTGTGGGTCAGGGAGCTATGAGGAGTGGTGCTGGGTGGAATTGAGGCAGGGAGGCAGGAAGGATCCCAGGTCAGGAAGTGGTTGCGTGGTGTGGAAGATCCAGATGCCTCCAGAGGGGTGAGGGTGCTGGAGTTCGGTTTTAGGGGTGTCAATCTTGGCCCCAGGAATGTCTCCCACTTTGCTGACCTGTCTCTCACTCCACAGGCCTGTGAGCTGCACGTGGCAGGGTTCGATTTTGAGGTTTTGAATGAAGGTTTCCTCGTTCATAAGGGCTTCAAGGAAGCTTTGAAGTTCCATCCCCAAAAGGAGGCTGAAAATCAGCACAATAAGATCTTGTACCGCCAGTTCAAACAGGAGTTGAAGACCAAGTACCCCAACTCCCCCCGCCGCTGCTGAGCCCTTCCCTCCCCCAGTCTGAGAAGTTTCAGCCTCCTGACTCCTCGGGCCGCCCCTTAGGCCTGACTGGGGTAAGAAATGTCTCTCCACTTTGCAGAGGGAGCTATAGTGTTGCAACACTGGACTTGAATATGGGGTGCTAGGATCAAGTTCTAGCTTTACCACTAACTAGCTGTGTGGCCTTGAGCAAATCCCTTTACCTCCCTGAGCCTCAGTTACTCCGTCTGTAAAACGGGAAGTGAGAATGCCTACCTCACAGAACTGTTGGGAGGCTCAGACGAGACGCTATCTGTGAAAACATTCTGTAAGCTTCGTACAAATGTGAAGTATTATTAATATTATTACAGTATTATTATTGTTGTTGTCACTATTGTTATTAACAATCGTGGGTGTGTGGGTGGTAGGAAAGCAGAAAATATGAATGGGACAGGGCTGAAAGATCAGAGACATGGGGGTACTTAAGGAATGGGGCTTTCCGGAAAGAAATCGGATGAAGGCGTGGAATTTCGTTCGTAGCTTCTGGGCAGAAGCCTAAACAACTCTAGCGCCTCCACCCTCGGGGGCTGTGGAGGAGGGAAGGGTCTGAAGGCTTGATGGGCGATAATCCATGAAAATCTGTACCCTCGAATAGGCTGGTGCTGGGTATTTGCCTACTTATGACAATGTTTAAATAAATGAGTGTTCACACCCACAGCTGGCTCCATTTCTCTCCGAAGCCGGAGGGAGGGGGGTTCCTGGTTTCACCCCTAGGACGCCGGGTGCGGTGGCCGCGGACCGAGGTGCGTGGGCTGCAAAGCGAGGAAACCACAGGGGCCTTTGCCGCAGGCCGAAGCCTAATAAGAACCTCCACCGGTTGCCATGGCATCCAGCCCGCGGTATCCCAGCATGCCTCGCCCCCAGCTGTCCAATTATGAGCTCCCCGGCGGGCGCCCCCAGATGACGCACACGGAAGCGCGGACAGGCCCCGCCTCCCTGAGGAGAGCGACCTGCACAGCGCTTCCGGGAGCTTGGCGGTGCGGCCGGTATCGGCACCTTTGGGCGCCTATCGGGGAGTCCTGGACGTGAGGCCAGAGGGCCCCCCCCACCTCCCCGCGGTGCGTATCGCCACCCCTAACCCCTGGTTCTGCCTCTCTGGACCAGTCGGGCGCGCCCTGCCCAACCTTCTCCTTCCGGGCCGAAGCGGAGACTTAAACCGGCCGGACGCGTACGGGGCTGCGGGGCCGAAGGCGGCTGCGGGGGAGACCGCGATTCTCCCGCCCGCGTCTCCGCATCCGGAGATGAGACGAGGCCGAGCCGCCCGGGCGCCGCGAAAGGGGCGATGGTGGGGAGGGGCCAGCCTTCCAGGGAGAGCTGCCTCTCGGAGCTCAGTCTGAAAAGATAAATGGCATGCGCACGGCGCTTCACAGTTTGCTTTTCTATCCCTTAGCCTTGCCGTCTTTACAACGCTCAGAGCAGGAATGGTTATCCCCGTTGCAGACGGGCAAGGAGGGGAAGTTGTAACTTAATTTAGTTCTCTTAGTAAAATTAGAGATAGCTGGAGGAGACACACACACACACACACATACACACACACATCCTCCTTTTCTGATCTGGAAAAGCTTCTGGAAGCTGTAGGGCTTAGGCTGAGTCAAGGTGAAGAGGAATTGCAAATGGAGGGAACTGCAGGAACAAAGGAACCCTGGTGGCGCAGTGAGACTTGCAAGTGGGAAAGATGAGAGGCTGGTTTGGAGAACCGAGAAATGGAGGAATGAAGGTTCCCCTTCTGCTAAGTTTTTCAGGTCAGGTTCAGATCCGTGGTGAAGTTGTTGAGAAATCTGACAAAACTCCTAGGCCAGACTTTTGATGCAACTTGAATAGGTGTCAACCAAAGTTAACAGACATTTCAGGTTTGTTGTCACTACAAGGACCTGAAGCTACCAAGAAGTAAAAACCAATCCTTGCCCTGCAAAAGTTTGTTTTGTTTACTTATATTTGCCGGTCCTCCATTCATCAAGTGAGCCAGTCCTGGGCTAGGTGACTAAGATGTATTTGTAGCCCCTGCCCTGGAGAGGCTCACAGACTGGCTGGGGAGATAGAACGAGAACGGGCAAACAGAAGGGAGATGGAAGGAAGGCCTCCTGGCCGGAGTGGAGTCTGCACCAGTCTAAAGGACTGCGAGGCAGCGGCCAGAGAAGCTGGAAGAGCGTCGTAGTAAAGTAGAAGCCTGCAGGAGGCAGTGAGTCTGCTGGGAGGATGCTTCAGTTCTCCTCTTAGGGAGTCTCTTGGCAGGGTTCGACACTGTTGTTGACCGCTCCTTCCTTCTGAAATGTTCTCTGCCTGTGACTTTGGGGTTTTTCTTTTCTACCTCTCAATTTCCTTCTCCTTTGCAGGGTCTCCTCAGCAGCCCCTTTGGTGACCCTGGGAGTTCCATCATGGACCCTTTCTCACTCCACACTTTCTGCCTTGGTGTCACACCCTCTCCCGTGGCCTGGACAGCTTGCTCTATGATGGCGACCAGATGTCTCTGCAGCCCAGATTTCTCTCTGAGGCTTAGACCCAGGTCCCCTTCCCTCCTGCACTCCCTTCTCTCAGTTCTGCATCATGCTGCTCACTCTACCTGGAGCGTTCCTTCCTCTGCTAGTCAGTTCATCCGTCTGGTCCATCTCCCCTGGCAGCCGTCACTGCTGCCCCAAGCTCCTGGTCTTGGTTAGACGCCCTTCCCCTGTGCCCCCAGTCTGCTGCTTTGCCTCTCTCTCTCCCAGGAACGTGTAAGCTCCTGGAGGTCAAAGCCTGTCTCTGCCCCAGTGATGCCCCAGCACCTGCCATAGTGCCTGGTAGCACCTAGCGTATATTAAGTGCTCAATAAATACTCAGTGAGTGACTAAACGAAGGACTGCTTGGCAGTGTTTGATGTTGCTGAGAAACCAATTAAGATGAGCACTGAAAAATACTGGTATTAGCCACAAGGAGGTTGTTGGTTAACTTGACAGGACCCGTTTCAGCAGAGAATGATAGGTGCAGGAACAGATGGGCGCAAATGGGAGGTGAGAGCAGGAAGGGCAGGTGTGTACAAGGCCTTGAAAATGGAGCTGTGGCGTGGAAGGCAGTGAGGTGGAATAGGGTGAGGTTTGGTTTGTCTTTCTGCTCTTTCTTACTGATGGAAAACATCTGAGCACATCTAAAGTTTCATGGGAAGGAGGCTGTCAAGGAGAGAAGTTGAAGCTACAGAAGAGAGGGGAGGGCTGACGACGTGAGATTCCAGAGGAAGCAGAAAGAGATGAGAAATGAGAGAAGGGATGGGGGAGGGGAGGGAACCTGGGTCTAAGCCTCAGTGAAATCTGGCCGCACAGAGATCTGATCACCGTCACAGAGCGAGTTGTTCAGGCCACAGGAGAGGGTACAAACACCAAGGCAGGAAGTGTGGAGTGAGAAGGGGTCCATGATGGAACTCCCAGGGTCACCAAAGGGGCTGCTGAGGAGACCCCTGCAAAGGAGAAGGGAATTAGTGAGCACAGTGCAGGGAACCACGGGACGCTATCAGGAAGAGAAGAGGAGTCCGTGATGGGCAGAAAGAGGGGTGGGAGCAGAGGAGGAGGGAGGGCATAGTGTCTTTGGGGACTCGCCAATGCATGGGTTGGGTGAAGGAGCTGGGCGGGTGGTTCCGTCCAGTCTGTGAAGGGCCTTGAAAGCCCCAGCAAGAAGTTCGGGCCCAGTCCCATAGGCCGGGGGAGCCCTAGAGGGCTTTTGAAAGGGAAAGAGAACTTGCCCAGAGCCCTGCTGGGTGCTGGTCCCTTGCAGAGTTTACCCCATCCTCATACCACTCCCACAGAGGGGTCACGGGAAGAGCAACTGTGCATCCTCACGGCCACACTTGTACCTAGGGCGTTGGCCACCTCACCGGGTCTGCTTGATCCTCACGGCCACGCTTAGCATTGTACGTGGGGCGTCGTCCACCTCACTGGGTCTGAGCTCCACCTCACCGGGTCTGCTCTCCTAGTGCCTTTTCCGGCGCTGGGGCGTCTGGGTTGTAACACTTCGTGCCGCTGCCCTTTCCCGTTCTGTGAATCGTTGCTTCACCCAGGATTGGGATCACCAGCAGGGTCAGAGGGCATGAGCGTTTCCATGGCTCCCCGGCTTCTGGGGGAGCTGTGCACCCAGGGCCATTGGCTCCCTCCCACCCACCATGGGTCAGGGTGGCGAGGACAGTCACCTCCCCGCCGTCCCCTCTGATTGAGGGTCAGGCTGGGCTTGACTCTCTGCTTGGCCACTTCTCTGCACTGTGGGCGGTGCTAAGTGATGGCTCCACCCCTTCTCCCAGAGCCCAAATGCCGGGCCAGCCCCCAAGCAAGGACACAGAAGAGATGGAACCTGAGGCCGACTCAGCGGCCGAGATGAACGGGGAGGAGGAAGAGAGTGAGGAGGAACGGAGCGGCAGCCAGACGGAGTCTGAGGAGGAGAGCTCCGGTGAGTCTACACAGACGTGCACGCACACGCTCGTACACACGGTGCCCGCCCGCTCCTCGTCAGAGTGGCCCTGACCAGCCCCTTGTCCCCAGAAATGGACGATGAGGACTACGAGCGGCGCCGCAGCGAGTGCGTCAGCGAGATGCTGGACCTGGAGAAGCAGTTCTCGGAGCTGAAGGAGAAGTGAGCGGGCACACCCAGGGCTGCTCTTGGGCTCCCGGAGAGGAGGCAGTAGGCCCGGTGCTGGCGGGCGGCTGAGGTCCCGAGTGAGTGAGCACCTGACCAGGCCTGCCGCGGAGCCGGGGCTCTGTGTGTGTATCTGCCTGAGAGCACCGACGAACCAACAGGTCTCTCACCTCCCAGGTTGTTCCGGGAGCGACTGAGCCAGCTGCGCTTGCGGCTGGAGGAAGTGGGAGCTGAGAGAGCCCCCGAGTACACAGAGCCTCTCGGGGGGCTGCAGCGGAGCCTCAAGATTCGCATTCAGGTGGCAGGTGTGTGGGCTGTCCCGTGTCCTGGGGCCAGGCCCCAGTCACTCCCTCTGTCCCTCCTCTCATCCCTGCCCTGTGTTCCCAGCCCTCCTTCCTGGACACCTCAACCCTTAGCTTAGCAGGGCCGTCTGCTCCCTCCTCCACAGGCATCTACAAGGGCTTCTGTCTGGATGTGATCAGGAATAAGTACGAGTGTGAGCTGCAGGGAGCCAAACAGCACCTGGAGGTGAGGGGCTGGGCACCTGCAGAGGGTGGTGGGCAAGGCCCGAGGGCCCTGCCCGGCTGAGCTGCTCTGGCCTTCTCCAGAGCGAGAAGCTGCTGCTGTACGACACCCTGCAGGGGGAGCTGCAGGAGCGGATCCAGAGGCTGGAGGAGGACCGCCAGAGCCTGGACATCAGCTCAGGTGAGGCGCTGTGCCACCACCCAGCACCCGTCTGCCCCTTGGCTTCCCGGACTGCACGCAGGGGCAGTCATCGGCCCTGTGCCTTGGGCTTGCCACGAGGACTGACTGATATGGAAAGGCCCAGCCCAGGGCCTGGCATGCAGTGGGGCTCAGGCAGAGTGGGCCTCTTGCCCTCCTGCCCCTGCTCTCTCCCCAGAGCGGGAGGTGCCAGTCGGCACGCGCACACACAGTAACCACAGTCCCCTCCACATCCGCAGCACCTGTGTTCCTCCTTCATGTCAGTTCTGCCAGGAGGCTGCTGTGGGGTCCTGTCGTCCTCCCCCAGCCCGTCACCTGCCCCCATCCACTGAGCAAAGGAAGAACCTGGGGCTCCCAGCAGTGTAGTCAGGACCTGAACTCAGGCTTCCCAGCCCAAGCCCAGGGTTCTCTCCTCTGCCCCACGTGGTGGTTGGTGGGGGAGGGGAGGGGAGGACAGAGGGAGGGTGGGGGGCGTCCCTGAAGGCCAGCACCCTGACCCTGACTCTGGGGCACAGAGTGGCGGGATGACAAACTGCACGCCGGAGGCAGCTCCCGGACCTGGGACTCCCTGCCACCCAGCAAGAGGAAGAAGGCACCCCTCGTCTCCGGTATCCTTCCACCCACGGGGGCCTGATGCTGGGCAGGGGACCAGGGTCAGCTCCAGACCCGGGGATGCAGAGGACAGAGGACCAGACACGTTCCTGGTCGCTTGGTGTTACGTGACCATGTCCAGGCAAATCCAGCTGTCAGGGATTTATCGTGGCACCTGGCCCTCCTGGGCCGTGTGGCCTGCAGAGAAAGAGAAATGTCAGTCCTGACTCGCAGGGACTTCCTGAGTGAGACTGGCTTTCCCATGATGTCTCCCCTGCCCGGCCCAGGCTTCCCCACCCTGTGCCCTCGCTTGGGCTCCACTTCCTCTTCCCAGCTCCCTCCACTTGCTCAGCGCTCATCTCAAGTGGCCCTTCCCCCATGAAGCCTGTCCTGGTCCACCCCAGTGGCCGTGGCTTTTCTCTCTGCACACCTCTGGCCTCTCTTGGGATGCCCACATTCTGTGTGGGAGTATTGGCCTCTGCCCCACTTTAGACACGAGCCCCTCCAGTCCAGGGCTGGCCGAGTCACCACCCCCGGGACCCTCCTGGTATGTCACAGCCCTGAGCTGAATAGCCAGGCCCCCTCTAGGGCATTCGTGAAGCAGCCAGACCCTTGGGTCACCTTGTGATGGAGATGAGGCTCAGGGCAGGTAGGAGAAATTGAGCAGGAGGTGAGGGCGTGGAGACATCGGGTGCAGAGCGCAGGGGAGCACGGGAGGGAGAGTGGATGGTCTCCGGACGGGAGGGGAGGCCAGAGGAGGCATGTCTTCAGGATGGAAGAGAGATGGGGGAGAGGTCCAGGAGAGGGAATAGGTAACAATGGCGGGGAAATAGGGGAAGGAGTGAGGTCCTCGAGGGTTGGGATACACCTGAACAGCAGACCTTGACTGAAGAGAGGAGGGGAGGGTGAGCCAAGGGGCTGTATGGGTGAGCTCGGCACTCTCCCTGTCCTTGGTGAAGCAGAGCCTGAGCTGCCTTGCTGAGAGCCGGCCAGGTGGTCTCGTGGGGGTGAAGCCTGAGCCCTAACCCAGATTCTCAGCTCCTAACCCCACACCGTCCCTGCACCACCTCTCCGGGCCTTGGGTCGGTCTCGAACTCAGTGGGCTAGGCCTGCCACCTGTCACCTGCCCCCTCTGCTGGGCGTCCTGCTTCCTTGACACCGTTGCAGGCCCTTATATTGTGTACATGCTGCAGGAAATCGACATCCTGGAGGACTGGACCGCCATCAAAAAGGTGGGCTCAGCTCTGGGCCTGGCTCTGCGGGCCTGTGCTTTCTGAGGGCCTGGGGTCCCGGGTGGCCCCTGGGCACAGCCTGCCTTCACCCCAGCTTCCCTGTGTTCCCGTGGGACGTAGGCTGCCCTGGAAGGGAGCCCTCTCCTCGATCAGGCTTTGATGCTGATGGGAAGGAGGGAGGAGAGGGAAGAGGGGAGAGCAGCCGGGCTGGCCGTGTCTGACAACAGACCTCATCAGGACTTGCTTTCGAAAGGTCTCCCCCCACCCTCAGTGCAGCCCGCACCCCCATAGGCTGGGGGCAGACTCTTAGGGGGGCTTTTCTTCTCACCCACCCAGGCTAGAGCAGCTGTGTCCCCTCAGAAGAGAAAATCAGATGGTAAGAACCTTAGAGGTTATCCTGCCTCCCACACACCAGTCTCCCCTCCCCGTCCCCGATGTCACCTCCCCCAGCCCAGCCTCCAGGAAAGAGGCCAGAGAGAGGCACGGTCACATCACAGTCTGAGGCCAAAACCCACTTACGTTTTGGGGGTTCTATGGGAGTTTTGTTAGGAAGCAGGGTGGGAGGTGGGGGGCTCTGGGTTGATGGAGCTAAAGGATGGTAGAGAACGGAGGAAGCCCCCAGCTGGGGTTGGGTTTTTTTTTTGGGGGGGGGGCGGGGAGCAGCAGCCCTCTAGGGTCTGGAGGGCTGTGGTGAGGTGACTGGACAGCCAAGGCCACTGACCTCAGTCCCCGTATGGAGGGGCTCCCCTCTTCTCACCTCAGTGATTTTCCCCTTCCCATGCATCCTCCAGGACTGTGACCCTGATGTTCTCAGCCAAAGGGTTTCTCAGAGCGGCTGGCACCAAACCCAAAACTTGCGTTTTCCTGCTGCAGAAAGGTGGACTGACAGGCCCCTCAGGTCTGCCTGGCGGCCCAGCAGCTCTCCAAGGCTGCAGTCGGCCTCCACCTCCAGCACCACTGGCCTCAACTCTTCCTCTGCCCCCCGCAGGGGCCGGCACCACTGTGGGCCTGGAGCTGACCTGCACAGGCCGGACTGTCTCCCCGTCCCCAGCCAGCCTGCCGCCCGCCTCCTAAAGACCAGCTTCCTCTGCCCTCCCTGACAATTTAAGCCAAACAGTGTCTTCCTGCTGACCTTGGGCCCTGGTCCTTAGCCCCTGAGCCGGGCCCCACTGCGGGGACTCGGAGCCATAAGTTATATTTGGGGGGCTCTGTCCTGGCAGGAGGTGGAGGTGAGAAGCCAGGCTCCCCAGGTTTTTTCAGGGTATCTCTTCGTTCCGCCTCTCAGATGGCAAAGACTGGAATTAAAACCTGTCCTGTGACTCTGGCCTGATCTGTGTGTGTCTGATTTATCTGGCAAGGGGATTGCGGCTCCCCTGGGTGCTCCTGACCTGGGGTACAGCCTGGGTCAGGGTGCTCTTCCATACACCACCCCCCCTCCCGTAGGTGGAGGCTGGGACCTGGGCTACTGCTGCTGCTGGGCAGTCTGAGCAACATGTGGCTGTGCAGGCAGGGCATGTGACCTCGGGTGGGGAAGGGGGCTGGGTGCTCCATGCTTGGAGATGGTCATGTCTGCACCTGCCCCAGTCGCTTGGCAGATTGGCAGGGCCTGTGCGTAGGAGGCAGCCGGCAGCAGCGCCATGTGCTGACGACCTCATAGCCAGACTCCCCCCTGTTTAGTGCTGAGTGCTGGAACCACCCCCAGAACCTCAGTTAAGCAAAGGGTTTAGTTTCCGTGGATACACGGCATCCTTTCTCCATGGCAACCTGAAATCCCAAAGCCCAGGTTGGATTCAGAAATGAGTCATCTGTTACCAGTAGAGGGCCCTCTGCCACCAGGCCGACCTCGAGACCAGGGACAAATGAGCAACTGACCACAGACTTAAAGGTTCCTCAAGGGCAGGCTGGGGCCTGTGGGGACCGAGACGCGCCTCACTTAACCCCTTCTTGCCCATGTGTGTCGTTTGAGTGGGCTAGCGAGGCTGCGCGAAGCTCCGTGAGGAGGTGGCACCCCGAGAGCTGGGGCCCACACAGAGGCGCTAGCACGGAGGGGGTCCTAGCCCCCTGAGGCTGGACCCAGAACAGAGGAGGCGGACACCGCCCGGACAGAGTGGACACAGAAGAGTTAACGGGCGGGGTGTGTCGGGGCGCACCGCCCTCAGGAAGTGTTACTCACCGCCGGGAATGTGAGTGCCTGTGCCTTGGGGGCTGGCTTCTCTTCCAGCGTCCCGGCGGGAGCAGCCGGCTAAGCGCCCAGCCATGGAAGCCCCCAGGGAGTCGGGCGCAGGCCCCCTCGGAGCCACCAGCCTGGCCGGCCGCGCTCCTGCACACCTGGAGGGAGAAAAGTTAGTGAAGTTGGCAGGGCCGCAGGTGGGTGGAGGGAGGGCGAGGAGGGTTGGTGCAGGCCAAGGGCAGGAGCGCCCAGGCTGGGAGAGGGTCCTGCTGCCCGCTAGCTCAGTCTGCCCACTCCCAGGCCGGGCCCGGACCCACTGTACGACGTGCCCGCCGTCGGCGGAGGACAGACGGGCGGGCCGCCACGGCCTGGACGCACGGTGAGCCTTCGGGAGCGCCTGCTGCTCACCCGGCCGGTGTGGCTGCAGCTGCGGGCCAACGCGGCAGCCGCCCTGCACGTGCTCAGGACCGAGCCCCCAGGGGTGAGCGCTGCCCCGCCCCCCGAGACTGTCCAGCCGAGGGGTGGGGGAGGATGGGGCTGGAGGTCCCGTGCTGTCAACTCCTGTCCCCCGCAGACGTTCCTCGTGCGGAAATCCAACACTCGCCAGTGCCAAGCCCTGTGTGTGCGGCTGCCTGAGGCCAGCGGCCCGTCCTTCGTCTCTAGCCACTATATCTTGGAGCGCCCCGGGGGTGAGACTACTGGTCCGGCGGGAAGGAGCTGGGAGCGGCTGGTGGGGCGGGTTTCCCGGAGAACACCTCGCTCACTTCCCATCTCTCAGGCGTCTCCTTGGAGGGCTCAGAGCTCGTGTTCCCAGACCTGGTCCAACTCATCTGCGCCTACTGCCATTCCCGGTGAGTCTGCCCACGGGCGCCTGATGTCCGAGGGGCCCTGCAGGTCAGCCCCCGCAGACCCCAGAACCCCTCACTCCTGACTTTCTGCTCCCCTCTCTGGCCTCAGGGACATCCTTCTTCTCCCGCTCCGGCTCCCCAGAGCCATCCACCAGGCAGCCACCCACAAGGAGCTGGAGGCCATCTCCCATCTGGGCGTTGGTAAGGGCGTCTCTGCCACCCATTGAACGAATGGACACACTGAGCCCCAGAGGGGCGGGGAAGGCGTGCGGGGCTCTCCCAGGGTTGGGCCTTGACTTGGTGTCTCTTCTGCAGAGTTCTGGAGCTCCGCCCTCAACACCAAGGCTCAACGGGGCCTCGGGGAAGGCCCGCTGCTGCCCCGGCTGAAGCCCCGGTCCCCTCAAGAGCTGGACCAGGGCACCGGCACCGCCCTGTGCTTCTTCAACCCCCTGTTCCCTGGGGATCTGGGCCCCACCAAGCGGGAGAAATTCAAGAGGAGCTTCAAAGTGCGCGTGTCCACAGAGACCTCCAGCCCCCTGTCTCCACCGGCCGTGCCACCTCCCCCGGTCCCGGTGCTGCCAGGGGCTGCCCCCAGCCAGCCAGACAGGCTGCCCCCGCGCCAGCTGCTGCGGAGGGAGAGCTCAGTGGGCTACCGTGTGCCTGGGGGCACCGGCCCCAGCCTCCCGCCCTTGCCCTCCCTCCAGGAGGTGGACTGTGGCTCCCCCAGCAGCTCAGAGGAGGAGGTGCCACCGGGGGCCTGTGGGAGCCCAGTGACCTCCCCCAACCTGGGTCGCCGGCGGCCCCTGCTGCGCTCCATGAGTGCTGCCTTCTGCTCGCTCCTGGCGCCTGAGCGGCAGGTGGGCCGGGCAGCCACAGCGCTGATGCGGGACCGCCACACAGCGGTGGGCCAGCTGGTGCAGGACCTGCTGACGCAGGTGCGGGCAGGGCCCGGGCCCCGGGAGCTGCAGGGCGTCCGCGAGGCGCTGAGCCGGGCCCGGGCCATGCTGAGCGCTGAGCTGGGCCCCGAGAAGCTGCTGCCGCCCGAGAGACTGGGTAAGGTCCCCCCCAGAAGCCCCTATCTCGCCCTGGCTCTCCATAATCCCATCTCTTCCCCATTTGACTCTCCTCTCCACCGTTCCGCCTGCCTCCCGGGATCTGGTCTATGCTCTCCACCAGTCCAGTGAATTCCATCCCCACTTCTCCCCTACTCTCCAGACTCACCAAGATTCCTCCCCCTTTCCCTCCCTCTCCCTCCCTGGTTCTGCCCTTCTCCCCAGATGCTGCCCCCACCCCATCCTGACTCCCTGACCCCTGCTGGGTCTTCTCTGCAGAGTGCGTCCTGGAGAAGTCACTGCACCGCTCAGTGCTCAAGCCTCTCCGGCCCATCCTGGCCGCCCGCCTGCGGCGCCGGCTCTCTGCCGACGGCTCCCTGGGCCGCCTGGCCGAGGGCCTCCGCCTGGCCCGGGCGCAGGGCCCTGGTGCCTTTGGGGCTCGCCTGAGCCTACCCTCCCTGGTGGAGGTGGAGCAGGTGCGCCAGAAGCTGCTGCAGCTGCTCTGTGCCTACTCGCCCAGCGCCCAGGTCAAGCGGCTCCTACAGGCCTGCAAGCTGCTCTACACGGCCCTGAGGACCCACACAGGTGCGCCCCTCCCTCCTGCCTCACAGATGGGGAAACCGAGGCCCCTAGGGTAGAGCACCCTCTCCCCGGCCCCTCCACGTGGTGGCCATAGGGATCACCCCAAGGGCGCAGCAGGAGGGGGGTGTCACTTCTAAGACCAGCAGTGGGCCCTGACCCTGGGACCTCAGAGGAGCCTGAAGCCACGCCCCACCACGTCCCCACAGGGGAGGACACGGGTGCTGATGAGTTCCTGCCACTGCTGAGCCTGGTCCTGGCCCAGTGTGACCTTCCAGACCTGCTGCTGGAGGCCGAGTACATGTCGGAGCTGCTGGAGCCCACCCTGCTCACTGGAGAGGGTGAGGGGCCCCTTTCCCCTCCCTGCACCCCCCTCCCCAGGACCTCCTTGTCTGGGTGGGGCCCGAAACTTAACTGCTACCTGGGCCCTATTAAGCAGGGAAGAGCAGGTCACCCACTTCTAGGCTGAGCTGCCCTCTTCCCTTGTGCCCCAGGTGGCTACTACCTGACCAGCCTCTCAGCCAGCCTGGCCCTGCTGAGCAGCCTGGACCAGGCGCATGCCCTCCCGCTCAGCCCCTCCCAGGAGCTGCAGCGTGCCCTCAGCCTCTGGGAGCAGCGCCGCCTGCCGGCCACCCACAGCTTCCAGGTAACAGAGCCCTCCACACTGCCCACACCCAACTGTCCAGGCAAGAGGGGGGAAAGGGCTAGTCCAGAACAAGTATCAAGGCCACCCTTTCTAGAGAGAGGACGTACCACTGTGCCAAGTGCTTCAGGGGCATTATTGCTTGAATCTTCACAGCCTGGCGTGGGGGCAGCCTGTCCATATCGCTGGGGGCGGCCCTAGCAGCACCAGGACTGGGGAAGGCGGCGTGGCCAGTGGAGACAGGGGGCTGGGGTAGGGCCATTATTACCCCCATTGTACAGATGAGAAAACTGAGACATGACTTGGAGATAGAAAGAGGCACAGGTGGCAGGCTCAGGCCCAAAGTCCTGGCCTTCAGCCCCCCGCTGAGGCTCTGCCCACCCCCTCCTGCAGACAGGAGTGCAGCAGGCACCAGGCGAGGGCCTGGCCTCCAGCCCACGCTCCCCTCACCTCCCATCATCTGGGCTCAGGCCAGACCCCCTCCCTGTCCTCTCCATCCAGTCAAGGGGACCTTAGTTGAGAGTCCAGACTCTGTAGACAGATCCTGGGTTCAAATCCCGGCTCTGCTACTTCCTTGTTGTGAAACCTTGAGCAAGGTACATAACCTCTTTGTGCCTCAAATTTCTTACCCGTAAAATGGGTTAATAGTACCTACTTCCTGGGGCTGAGTTCTTGCAGGCCAAGTGCTGAGAATGGTGCCTGGTGCAGAGTGAGGCCACCTAAATGTCCCCTGTCATCGTTAGACTTGAAAGATCCCCCCAGGGGCCGTCCTTCCAGCCTGTAGCCCTGTGACCCACTGGCCCAACCACAGCTCTCCCTTCCTCAAAACCCACCTTGGTGCTCATCTGGTCCAAAAAGCTTTGACAGTTAGTTCTACACCCAGGTTATACCCACCCCACCCCCGTCCCTGCAGAGCCTAACCTGGGACCTTAGACTTTAGAGCCACTTATCTTCTACCAGACAGGCCTGAGGACTTGTTTTTGCTTCTCCTCCTGCACAGCACCTCCTCCGAGTAGCCTATCAGGACCCCAGTAGTGGCTGCACCTCCAAAACCCTGGCTGTATCCCCAGGGGCCTCCATTGCCACCCTCAGCCAGCTCTGTGCCACCAAGTTCCGAGTGACCCAGCCCGACACTTTCGGCCTCTTCCTGTACAAGGAGCAAGGCTACCACCGCCTGCCTCCTGGAGCCCTGGCCCACGGGCTTCCCACAACTGGCTACCTCGTCTACCGCCGGGCAGAGCGGCCTGAGGCCCCACCTGGGGCTGCAACAGAGGAGGGCAGGGGGCAGCCAGAGGCAGGGAACAGGAAGGAGGAGGAAGGAGCCCAAGGAGTTGGAGACACTGGGGTCAAAGCCAGCCCTGGGGACAGGGGGCAAGAGAATGAGGGCACTGTTGAGGGAAGGGAGGGCCAGGCCGCGGGAGGCCAGGAGGCCGAGTTGTAGCTGGAAGTGACCAGAGGGGCATATAGGGCGGGGGACTCTGAGCTACTAGGAAGGACTTTCAGAGAGGCAGCACTCCCAGCCAGGGCTGCAGCCTCCTTGGCCACCCCCCACCGGCCCCTCTCCTGTGTCTGCCACCACCTCTGTCTGGTGTGACCTCCGTGAGCCCAGCTGCTGGGGGATTGGAGTAAAGCTGAGGGTCCTGGGGGGGGGGCCCAGACCAAGTGTCCAAGGCCCATTGCCTCTTGTCCTTCTCCCCCAGCTGGAGGCCAGCGGTGCCCAGCAGTGTGTCAAGTCAGCCGAGGCCCAACCTCTGGCCATGGGGGAGGGGCTCTGTCCCAGCTCCCTTTGCACCTCCCCGCCACCGAGGGCACAGCCCAGGTCGGAGCTACTGGCCAAGCAGCCCCAGCAGGCTGAGGACTCCAAGTCCTGAAAGGCTCCAACCACTCCGTGGTGTCAGGAGGCTTCAGGGAGGCCACAGCGTGGCAGGAAGGGCCCAGGCCCAGCCCTGCCCGGGCACCTGGGGACAACTCTCCAAGCTTCAGTGTCTTCACCAGTGAAAGGGGGTGCACTGGCTGCCCTGCCTGTTTCCGGGAGTCAGAGGGGGCGCAATTGCTGCAAAGCTGAGCTCAGGCTGGGGAGGAGGTGGGTGTTAGCAACCCCTTCCACTAGCCCTGCTCTCCCTGGAGTCTGTTCTTTGCAGCCCCCACCCCAGGGATCTCACTGGCTGATGGGCGCCCTTCAGTTCAGGGGGGGTCATCCTACTGGAGATCAGCTCCCAGAAGAGAAAGCACCCCAGTTCCAGTCTTTCCCCAAGCTGGGAAGTCTGACACCCCAGGGGGAGGTAACATCCACCAATAGGGACACTTCCGCAGTAGGGGAGGGGGCTTGGAAACCATTTTCTGCACTTAACTTGTTTGGCCCTCACGAACAATTGGCTTATGGGCCCCACCAAGGTACAGAAAAGAAAGGTGACTCCTAAGACGTCACCCAGCAAGTCATTCGGGGTTCCTCTACCCCAAACCAGGGCCCTCGAGTCTAAGCCACAAACAAATTAAACCTCAAGGCTACTCATCCCCGAGGGGGGGGGGTGTCCGAACTGGCGGCAAATCTAAGCAAAGAATAATACCGACCACAAGGGGGCGCATATAGCCCAGGAAGCTGCTGAGAGAGTGACCCCGGGGGAGGGCAGCCCAGGGGCGGCGGCGGCGTGGGTGGTCATGGGCATAACGCTCTTGTGGTCGCCAGGCACAGGGACAGCGCGTGGTCCAAGGTGGCCGACCCTCGGACGCCATGTGAAGGAACTGTCTTCTGGTGGGGAGAGGACCCCAGCCAGTCTCAGAGGTGCTCCCCTCAAGCACTGGGCACAAAGGGACACCAACATTAATGTCAGACGTGGACACTGGTTTTCAGACAACTCCGATGCAGCCTAGGTGTGGGTCCCTCCCCACCTCGACCCTTCCCCCGCCCCTACCATGCTTCTTGCTGGTAGGGAGTGTCCTCTTCAACCTTTTGTTGGTCCTCCTCCCCCCTCCCCCAAGCACCCTACAGTGCTGAGCACTCCATGGGCGCTCAATAAATGTTGTTCACTGCTTGGAGTTTGATAACTAAGAGGGAGGGCCAGTGAGGTGGGAGCCTGGGGAGGGTAAGGGAGGTCTGGGCTCCGGGATCCAAACACAGGATGTACCAAGTTCAGTCCCAGAGGAAGGACCTGCAGTGGTTGCAGGGGGTGCTGGGAGAACCCGAGGGACCGGGGATGTGGAGCTGGTCTCAGTCTCACGGGAGGGGACCAGCCCAGCAGCTGCAAGCCCCTCTCACCCCATCACCTGCTGAGTCCTAATCCCCGCCTCTGGGAATTCAGATGCCCCCAGCAGTGGCTCATGGGAGCACTGCCCAGCCCTGCCTGCTGCCTGCGCTTCTGGTTTAGCTCCTTAAGAGAGCCTGATTGGTCAGGGGTCCAGGGAAGGTAAATGACCGCGACCAAGGTCATGATACAGGGGCTGAAGCTCCAAACAGGGCAGGCAATGAGAGGCCAGTCTAAGAGTGATCTAATCGTCCTCATTCTCCAGATGAGGAAACTGAGGTTTGCTCAGGGAAAGTGGCTTGTTTAAGGGCAAAGGGCTTGGACACTAGGCCTTGTGGCCTTTGGATTCTGCAGTCTTCCAAGACAGGGGGACTCATTCACTCATTCACTCAGCAACCATCTGTCGTGTGTCCGCGGGGACGAAGCACCAAGCACCCACAGCCCCAGCCAAGTGCAAACAGGTCAGATCTCTCCACCTTTGCTCTGGGATCCGAGCAATAACTGAGAGCCTACTGTGGAGTCCCTGGGTGGTGCAAACAGCTACTGGGCTTGGCTGCTAACTGAAAGGTTTGTGGTTCAAGTCCACCCAGAGGTGCCTCGGAAGGAAAGCCTGGCAATCTACTTCCAAAAAGTCAGCCACTGAAAACCCTATGGGGTCGCCATGAGTCCGAATCAACTCCATGACAACTGGTACTGGTATTGTGTGCTAGATACTCTGCCTCCCCTGCCACCACACCCACCTCTGTCCTCAGGGAAGAGGAAGCCCAGACTCTGAGAGGTGAGCTGCCTTGTCCAGCAGGACTGGAACCCCAAGAAGCAGCGAAGTCATTTCCTCACCTGGAAGTGTTGCACTTATCACCTGAAGTCACTGGAGTGTGTGTTTATCTGTTGTCAGTCTCCCCCACTAGAATGCCAGCGCCAAGTCGGCCTTGTTCCCAGCTAACTCTCGGGGGCCTAGAACAATGCCTGGCCAGGAATTGGCACGGAGTAAATATATGTGGAATGATGGATTCAGGAAGACTCAGCCAGAACGTTTCCTGCAGTTCCTGGGGCGCGGGCCGCGCATCCTCCATCGCTGCCACCAGGGGGCGAGCGTGTCCCGTTCCCAGCCATAGGCCGAATCCCCTTCTCCAGGGAGCCCCCTCCCCGCCAGGGGACCCAGGGGACTCCGTGGGCCGGCACCCGGCCAGCTTCGGGGAAGGAAGCAGTCCCGCAGTGAGGTCCCAGGGCCATCCTTCGAATGAAGTCCTGCAAATGAGGGAGGAGCTGCCCATCCCGGGTCCCAGCCCCAGGCAGGCCCTGAGGCGGGAATTCCAGTCCTGCCCTGGCCAGGGCCCAAGGGTGGCCTGAGAGGGGACCCTGGGGTGGTGGGGAAGAAGACAGTCACTGAGACCCACACTGAGGGGACTCGGGGGCATCAGGACACTTGTGGACAGTCTTGTGGTCACACGTAAAGTGTGACTGCTGTGGTCCCTCATTCCCCTGTGTCCCCCACTGGCCACACACGGGACGACACCCTGACCCACCCTGCCATGGCCTCGTAACCCGTGTCCATTCCCACAGTCTGACACACAGTCGTGATGATCACACACCCTGGCCCACGTTCACAGCATGTGATACACCGCTATGGACACGTACAGGAGCCCCGGCAGCCCCACGTTCCCGGGAACACCCACAGGGGTAGGAACACCCTGACCCTGTTAGCCGCTCATCCCCTGTGGGGGGTGGGACACTGACTCTTCTCCGAGTTACACCCTGACACCGGCCAAACACCCACTCAGACATTCCAGCTATGCAGACTCCCAGATGCTTCCTTGACACCCACCCTCTCTGGTTCCGTGTGACTTCCCAACACATTCTCGGTGACAGGCTGCCACAGAGACACATGGTGGCATGCTGATGACATACACACACGGGTCAGTCTGCCACATACTCAGAGACAGGCTGAAACAGAGACACGTGGTGGCCTGCTACACAGGGACTCCCTGACACACGCCTATACCGCAGAACTGCCACGGGCAGACACAGCCACATACACTCTCCCAAGACGCAGCCACAAGCTTCCTCCAGCCGCTCTGCCCAAGCACAGGGAGCTCAAACACACACACACACACAGAAACCCAAACTCAGAGACGCACACAGACACTGAGACAAAGACACACACGGACAGACGCACACACAAACTCAGAGGCGCACAGTCACACACGGAGACACAGACACAGATACACACAGCGACACACAGACACGCTTTTTTTTATTTTTGAGCTCAGAGAAGAGGCCCAAGGCCCTCTCCTGACTAACCTCATGGCTAGCCCTGGCCTATAGCTCCCGTACTCATCCACCCACCCCACGGTGGAGCCTGGTGGGGGCTGTGAGTTGCTCAGAAGACCCCCACGAGGGAGGTGGTGACCCCACTAGCCAGGCAGGAGGCAGAGGCAGGCAGTGCTGGGTGGGGAGGCCTGAGCTCACCAGATTCCAGCTGGGGTGATTCACGGAAGCGCCTGGGGAGGGTCTAGGAGGGGGCACTGGCCCAGGGGCCAGAGCTTTGGAGGCCTGCGTGGGCTTTGGACTAGAGGGTCTTGGGTCCAGAACAAGTCTCGAGTCTGGGAGGGGGGCTTCCTGAGGGGGTGGCAGGGCCCGAAGAGATGCCTGCTGGGCCTGGATCCTGGGAAGGGCTCCTCCAGACAGAGAGCTGAGCCCCAGGATGAGACAATCGGCCCCTCCCATTCACCCCACCCAAGGGCCTGGGCCCCTGACCCCACTCCTTCCTGGCCTCAACAGTTGGGTGTCTTTAGCAGGATGTAGGTCAAGGGTGGGGGCAGGAGGGGTGACCTTCACGGCCTATCTTGGCCCCTTGGGCCCTTGGGCAGACGGTCAGAGTAGACCCCAGAGGCCCCGAGGGGCTGGGCCTGGCTTGGCCCTGTCGGTGCTGACAGGGTTACAGACCCGCGCAGCCCTGCCAGGGGAGGCCTCTGCCAGAGGCGAGAGTGAGGAGAACGAGAGCACAAGGCTGTCCCAGCGCCAGGGATGCTTTCCTGCTGAGATTGAGCCCTCTGCTCCTGCCACCGTCAGAGCCCCTGCCTCCCCGGGCTGATGCTCAGAGGAGGTGGGGGCCGCTGGGGCCCAGGCCAGGCTGCCTCTGCAGGGTGACAGGAAGGAAGGATGAGGCTGGGGGCAGGCCAGGGGCACAGGAAGTGCCTTTCTTGGAACTTTGCACCAAAATAGTCTGTTCTGTCCCTACTCAGGGTCTAGTGTCCCACGGGGGAGGTGTGGGTCACCAGGGAGGGGCCTAAGCCGACCTTAGTGTGGCTCTTGCTCCCCCCCTCCCCACCCCCCGTCTGCCCCCGCCACGGCCTCTGCTCCACTTTGAAGTCCCAACATAAATATCATGTCTGCCTGGGTTCCCCTTCCCAGGCTGGTCACAGACCCCAGACCTGGCTCTCACCCCAGCCAGCCCTGGGGGGTACCGTGCGAGGGGAGCGGAGGGAGGTCAGGACCACCCAGGGACAGTGACAAGCCAGTGACCCTGGAGACAGAAACAGAGAGACAGATGGGGAGAAACTCTGGAGGCAGGGGAAGGACAGGAGCGGCAGAGAATGACGAGACAGAGACAGAGAGACAGACCAGAGACCAAGGAGAGGACAGTCCTGGTGACGGGGAAAACCCCAGACACAGAGAGGGGACAGAGAGGGAGCAAGAGGAACAGGGAGAAAGAGAAGAGTGAGACTCAAGGTCCCTGGGGACAGAGAGGGCAGGAAGAGGAGGGCCCTGGACATAAATAAGTGGAGAAAAAGTAAGAGGGAGCAGAGAAAGTTCCAGAGGTGGAGTGTGGGGGCTGAGCCTGGGGTAGCAGTGGGAAGGATGTGGTACAAAGAGAACCCCCCTGGAAGTCAGGTGACCAACCTACCCAGTTTACTCAGGACACGGGAATCCCAGTGCCGAAATCAGGAAGTCCTCAGCAAACTGGGCCAAGTTGGTCACCCTAGGTGGCAACTTCTGGCACACGCCACAGGGGTCAGAGAGTCCACTCCCACAGGTACCCTCTGCACAGATGAGGAAACTGAAGCCCCGAGAGGGCCGGCTGGAACTTCCCTGGAGCGCACTGCAAGGCTGGCCCTGGGATACAGGCTCTTCTGCCTCTTCCCACGGAGCCAAGGCTGAAGGGGATGAGAGCGGAGGACAACAGCTGAGGGACAGGAGGCCCCCAGGCTCACTCTCCCTGCAGTCGCTCCCAAGAGCTCCTGGCCTGGCCCTGGAGGCCTAGACTTCGGTACCAGTCCATGCACTGCCCTGCTTATGGGGGGGATCTCGGGCAAGCCCTGCTCTCTCTGGGCGCTGGATCGGGAGGGGTGGTTCTGGGCCCTTCCGGCCCCGATGTGGGCAGACGTGGCCAGATGGTCAGGTCAGGTGTCTGCCAGGAGGCAGAACAGGGCCTCAGCTGGGCCCAGGCTGGGCAATCTGGGGGCAGCCATATGCTTCTCCCCTCCCAGCCGGGGGCACAGGTGTGGGCACGCTGGGACATACATGTCACCCAGATGTGCACACCCACACCACGCCAGGCATGTGCAAACACACGTGTGCACACACAGGTGGTGGCACGGACACCCAGTTACACTCATGTGCACGGTCTCTCTCCATGGCAAGGACACCCCCATCTCCCTCCAGCTGTTACAATCCTTTACCCCCAGGGGTCAGCCTGGTCTGGACAACATTCCGTCTTCCTGGGCCCCACCTCCCCAAGCCTGTTTCTCTGCCCTCTCCAGGCCCCAGTTCCCCACCCCTCTTCCCAGGCCTCTTCCCCCAAGAAGCACACAGGCTTCGCCTACAAGTGGGGAGGGAAGGAGGCTTCCCCTCCCTCCCCTCCCTCCCAGAGCCCCCTCCTCTTCCCTCCCAGCCTGCCTGGCCTAGGGACCTCACCCACCTCCCCTCCCCCAGCTCCCACCCAAGACTAGGCGCCTCCCACCCACCCATCAGCCCTTCCTCTTGACAGCCCAAAGGCGGGTGGTTTGGGAAGAATTTAGAAATGGAGGGAGGTGGGGGATGGGGACAAAGGAAAGAAGTAAAGGAGGTGATTTGTACACAAAGCAATGTGCTGGCTCAGCGGCCTGGCACGCCAAGGCTCACAAGGACGCCTGCCCGGGGCGCCCCCCATCGCTCTCGACTCCCCCACTCTGGCTGTTCCGCTGGGCCTCTCCGGGCCAGCCCCTCTGCAGGCCGCCTTCGCCCTCACCCCCACGGGCCCACACACTGCATCCCAAACCACCAGGCCTTGTGCTTGTCCCAGTAGCTGGAAGACAAGACTCCTTCTAGCGAGCGCGCTTCTGTCTTCATGCCCCTCTCAAGGGAAGCTCTCCCCATCTGGGCCTTGATCAGAGCAGGGAACCTCAGCCCCCTGACCACCAGCCCCAAATGTGAGCTGAACCCAGTGCCCTGGCTTGGAAAGTGCACTGTCCCCCGTCCCCAGCCTCTATCTCTATCCCTTATCAGGGCCCAGCAGAGAAAATAGGCTGTTTGATACCTGGGGAAGCTTCACACGATCCCTGCCAGTGGCCATCCCAAGCTGTCTCTCTCCACTGGGCTGTGCTCCTTCAGATCCCTAGAGTTACATCCCGAGCATGGGTTCGTCCTGGTGGCTGCTCTAGATGAATCAGAACCCCCACTTCTGCTGATATTCCTCTATCCAACCATGTGTCTATTCATACATCTTCTCATTCCACACACCCATCCACTTACCCATCTATCCATCCAGCCAGTCATTCATTCCTACATCCATCCATCTATCCATCTGTCCACCCGTCCATCTGTCCACCCATCCTCTCACCCAATCATCCTTCCATCTATCCATCCATCCGTCCATCTACCCACCCATCCATCGATTCACCCATCCATCATCCATCCACCCATCCTCCCACCTAACCATCCTTCCGTTTATCCATCCACCCATCCATTCATCCATCCACCCGTTCATCCGTCTGTCCATCCATCCATCCACCTACCCACCCTCCAAGCGTTTAGTGCATCAGTTAGCATCTTCTCTGTGCTATGGGGGGACCAAAATGAGTCACGCTCAACCAACCTAGGAGGAAACATAAGACGCCAACCAGCTCTCACTCTGCCTCCCTAGCTCCTCACCTCCAGATCCCTGATGCTATGCCTATCCCATGTGGGGCAGACTCAACCCCACCTCTCCCACACGGAGGGGGCAAATGAGTGCCAGGCATTTTCCCAAACTGGGCACCCAGGTGCATCCCCAAGACTCATTCTCTGCCCACCAAACCCTCAGCATTGTTGGGGTAGAGTTGCCCCTGTGGTCTGGGCTCTGACTTCCCTCCATTCCCAAGTAGGACCAGCCAGAACATCTGGAATTTGGCCTTTGACCGTCCTCCTCCTGCTTCCCTTGTCTGACCCCCAATTCCTTACCCCTAAGGAGACCGGGGTCCTGACCTCCAATCTGACCCACCCACTTGCCAGACGGCCTACAGCCTCCCCTTGGCCGCCCCAGCACCGGCCATTGCCCAGATCATGACTGGGCTCGCCACACCCTTGGAGCGGGCTCCCACCCGCCCTGAGGAGCCTCCAGAGGCTGCCTCCCCCAGCCCGGCCCGCCCTGCTGCCCGGCTTTCCAGCCAGCTCCCCTCCCCTCTCCCAGACTATTGCAACAGTCTCCTAACTGGTCCCTGGCCTCCCTCCACCCGCCACACACCAGCCCCAGAGATCTCTCATCATGCCTCCACGATGGAGGACCAGCCTTTAGGGGCAGCTCAGCGCCTTCCAAGCCAGGCCCCAATCCCTTTCTGGTATTCTCTCTCCCACGCCTTCTAGATGTCCCTCACTCCAGGCCCGCAGAGTCTTCTGCATTCTCCAGACATATCTTGAGCACTCCCATCTCAGGACCTTCCTCTGGGTGTGCCTTCTTCCTGTCACACCTTCCTCCCACCTTCACGTCAACAGCTCCCTAGGCCCTGTCTCTCAGGGGGGCTGGCTGTGTCACAACGTGCCCACCTCACAGGCTCCTCAGGGTGCCGAGCAAAGAGATCACTGGAGTAGGAGTCAGGAGGCCTTGGCTCTAGCCCCAGCCTGGCAAATGACTTGCTCTCAGACTCCCTGGATCTCAGTTTCCCCAACTGCAAAATAACTGGCTGATTTTCAGACATCTCCCAGTTCTAGGGTAGTCTGACTTGAAGGCTGGGCATGTGTGCGGAGCAGGTGGGCTTTGGTTGCAAGCAAAATCACCCAGAGAAAGGCCCTGCACTTCCCCTTGCCTATGAGCGGCAGCCATGGGCTTGGTGCTTTTTAGGCACTGGGAGTGCAGCAGGGAACAAGACAATGACCTGCTCTCATGGAGCTAACAGTCTCGTAGGGCAGGAGTTCCCAACCAGGGGCAATGTTGCCCCCCAAGAGCCATTTGGCGATGTCTGGAGACAGTTTTTGTTGCCACTGCTGGGGAGATGCTACTGGCTTCTAGTGGGTAGGAGCCAAGGATGATGCTAAACATCCTACAGTGCACAGCCTGGATCCCACTGCAAAGAATTATCCAACCTGAATATCAAGGTGGAGAAACCCTGGGCTAGGGAGGTTCAGGCCATAATCAAATCAACAAGTAAATATATACCATGCCAGCTCAGGATAAGTGCAAAGGAAGAAAATGGAGCAAGATCAGGGGGTCGGGGAGTCCCAGGGGAGGTGGGGGCTCTGATGCTTGAGCAGAGAGGCCTGAAGGAAGTGGGTGGTTATTGTACAAAGAGCGCAGCAGGCAAGGGGAACAGTCAGAGCAAAGGCCCTGAGGTAGACGTGTGCCTATGGGCTTGAGGAACAGCAAGGAGCCAGAGTGGCTGGAGCAGGGCAAGCGAGGGGGATGAGAGGGCTAGGGGCAGGTCACACAGGCCCAGGGGCCATGGCCGGACCTTGGCCTTTCCTCCAAGTGAGATGGGGCCTGGGAGGGTTCTGAGCAGAGGGATCGAATCTGACTCAGGTTATAAAAGGATCCCTCTGGCTGGCTGTCGTGTGGAGAGGGATATAGAAGGCTGGAGGGACAGCAGAGGCCAGGGAAAAGCTGTCGCAGGAACTGGGACAGGAGACGATAGTGGCCTGGGCTGGTGGCAAAGAAGGTGGTGACAAGTGGCTGGATGCTGGATCTATTCAAATCCAATGGGATTTGCTGTGAGATTGGACTTGGGGTGTGGGAGAGAGAGGAGTCGACGATGATCTCAAGGTTTGGGGCCTGAGCCAGAGGAAGGATGAATTGCCCCATATTGACTTGCCGCTCCCAAAAGGGGGAAATTTCTGTGTGCTTCACCGTCCTAGACCTGGTGAGAAGGAACTCCTGGGCAACTGGCAAGAGCTCCTTATGCTGGGAGCTGGCTGGGTCTGCAAGCTCCACCCAGGATCTGTTAGGTGGTCCCCCACCCCTACCCTGATTTGCTCAGAAGACTAAGGAACAGTTGCCTCGTGTTCTGCAGCTGACAAAGCACATTTGCAAACACTGAGCGCTGTGATACAATAGCCCTGGGGAGCTGAGAGGCCACGACACATTATCCCCCGTTTGTAAATAAGAGAAATGGAGGCCCAGAGAGGGTCAGTGACTTCCCCCAGGTCACACAGCAGATCAGAGGCTGAGGGGGAAGTTGGACCAGGGCAGCGGCTCAAACATCTGCTGAGTGCAGTGGGTGTGCAGGGGTTAACCCGCCAACCAGCTCCCCAGGGACCTTCAGGGGATGGGCTCAGCCACAGGCTTCTAGGAGGGGCGGGAAGAGGGCCCAGGCCAGGCCCACGCAGCAGGCCCTGGGGGCAGGGAGGGCTCCACACACATGCACACGTGACGCTCGTGTCACATACACATGTGTGTCATTGTGAGTCCAGTGCCCATACATGGCCTCGAACCAGTCCCCTCACAGCCAGCTCTGCTCACCCTGAGTGAAGCCCAGCCCCCTCCCCCAGGAACCCTTCCCTCCTGCAGCAGGAGCCCACAGAGGCATTTCCTGTTTGGGGGCTGCCTCCTCCCCGTCTAAGCCCAGGTTCCCAGGGCCCCAGGCTGAGCAGGGGTGAAGGGAGGGCAGCCCCCTGCCCCTCCTCTGTTAGTCCTCTCTGCTCCCACCCACTGGCCCCAAGAAGCTAGGGGTGGGGGAGGTTGAGGCAGGGGCTTAGTCTATAAGTGAGGAGTCGAGGCGAGGCTGTCCATGGCCAAGGGAGCAAGGAGGTTCCCATTCCGGGCCTGCACACCCATGTGAGGGACTTCATGTTAGGGCATGTAGAATGTCACACTATCTTTGTGCGTGCAACTTAGGGGCTTAGCAGGTCACAGCGTGTGCCTGCGTGGGAAGGAGGCTGCAGGCCAGCGTCGGTCCACCGTGAGGCCAAGGGCTCAGCAGGTCCGAGCCAAGGGACAGGGTGTTGGGGGCAATGCCCTTGCTGTTGAGGAGCCGGCAGCAGAGGAGCGAGCACACGGCGCCGAACGGAATGGGTTAGGGTATGTTTCCACGTGGATGGCAGGCAGTCGAGCGGAGAGACGGTTCCCCGTGTGATGAGGTCGTGTGTCCGGATCTGGGTCTGTGGGTCTCTGGAAAGAGCTCGCCCCACCTCCACCCCAGCCCCGACTGCGCGGGAGTTTTCAGAGGGAGGGTCGAGCCAGCCTTCTCAGGCCTCTCCCCTCCCAGACTCCCAGCCTTGCCCCTCCTCCCCGCCCCCGTCCCTCACCGCTCCCCCAGGACCCCCACCACCTTACCCGCCCGCCCGCTTCCTGCTCCGGCGG